TCACATACGAGCTCCATTTTCTACAATCTTTATATCCATACATAGGTGGAGACATAATTTACAACTTTCATTTAGACTCTGTCGGCTTATTCTCCACCGATTTTAAATTTCACATTATGAGAATATTACACTGTTAACGACTGTGTAAAATTCATAACTTCTACATACGGACTCCGTTTTCGACTGTCTTTTTATCATGAGCTCCTATTAATGAGATATTCAATTCTCATTTAGGTTATGTCAGCTAAAAATCGCTCGATCTGAAATTCGAAATTCATACTGTATACTGCTATGCAAAATCTTAGAAAAATCATAACTTCTTCATACGAAGTCAGATTTTGACATTCTTTTTATGCACACTCTCGGTTTAACGTATACCACAACTTTAATTTAGATACCTAAGGCTAAAAAGTATTTTTATCAAAAATTCACTTTTTACGACTCCCGGTACCATGCCGGTTTTGCCGTAAATCTTCGACAGGTCATAATTTAGTTGTTATAACTCGGATTTTGGCGTTCTTTATATTTTCGGAATCATTGACATGACCACTACCACTTTCTTCATAGATATTGGGTTTATCTACAAATTTATTTTTGAAGCTATTTTACTCTTAATTTATTATATTTTATAAATAAATATAATGCACATAAAATCACATAATTCATATAGTATTCAAGTAATTTTGATTTCACTACTAGAAAAACAGCCTTTTATGATGCACATTACGTGTCATAAAACGCTCAGACGACGCGTAAATGCGTGTCAAGGAAGGGCTTGTCATAACGAGAGACGACATGCTTTTGCGCGTCGTCTATTTACGATGCGCATTTACGACACACATTTATGGCACGCATTTACGAGGCGCAGTTATGACACACAATGATTATCAAGGAAGGCCTTGTCATAAAGGAAGACGACACACATTTGTGTGTCGTAACCTTACGACGGGCGTGTTTATGACACGCAATGCGTATCAAGGAAGCCCTTGTCATAAAGGAAGACGACATGCATTTTTGCGTGTCATAATTTTAAATGTTTTTAAAATTATATATTTTTGATAGATTTACTAATTTTCAAATTAAATAACACATTAAAAGTCTCATAATACAAAATAAAATACCATAAAAAATAAAGATAATTCCTTGCATTTATATGTCAAATACAAATAAGCATTCCAATAGTAAGTAAATGTAACACATTGCTAATATTGCATAATATTTATTATAGAAAACAAAATATGTACAACATTTAAATAAACCCATGACTAAATTCTCCTTTGACAATTTCCTTTCTAAGAGAGTAACCTGAATGCAAGAACTTTGAGAGGCAATAGGACATGGAAGGAGGTAGCTAGAGCTGTCAAAACCTGCACAGGGCAAATCGGTAACTTAACATGCAATATGAATCAAGGGTACTAAGGTCAAGCAGCCAATCAATGCATAACTTGAAATACCTTCTGAGGTTGAATGATGTTTTCTTCTCCTCTGGATCCTTTTGAATGGATCTCACAGTCACTACTAACACATATTGCCAAAAAAATGTCAAATAATCTATTCTCCAACATATACAACTAATCACAAGTCTTGATTGTAATTCACGATTCTAACCTTTGAGAGAAGATACAACTTGCTTACTCCATGGTCGACAGAGGAGAAGCAGCCATACAAAGAAGAAGCAATTATGTTGATGAAAAGCATATATATATATATATATATATATATATATATATATATATATATATATATATATGTAGCTTCAATTTGCTTATTATAGCATCTCACTTCTCAATCAATGTATTACAACATTGTACTTATACTTAAGTGAATTTTCATATTATAATAAGAAGAAATGAAAGTGTAATGCTATAATGAACAATAAAAAGGGAAGTGTGTTGCTATTTGGCATTACGAAGAAACTCCCCACTTGCTCCTTCGAATGACATAATTAAAGGCTTTCCTTTTCTTGAAGCAACAAGGGATTTAATTTATGATGTATGATAAACATATATAAATGTCAAATGATTGTGTATAAAATGACACACATGAGAATGTTTTTTCCCAATATGAGAAAAACAACCAGCATGGTTGTAGAAATATTAGCTTATGAAAATAGAATGTTATTTCTTGCATTTAACCTTTTTCAATATATGTAGAATCATATCATGAGATTTAAAGGCTTAAAAACTTACTAAAATATGTTGATGGAGTCACTGGATTGTTGGAAAGCACACCATCCACTAAGAATCTTCCATTATCCACAAAATACAGATACTCTTCTACAGGTTCATAACTGTAATTATACACAAGTTGCACATCATTCATAGGCCATATGTATAACTTAGGAACTAAAACACCAGAAGAAAATGTCTTGATAAATGCTAGATTTTTTAAAAGTGAACCATATGTTTGATTGGTTGAGGGCTCAATCTTGTTCACTTCTAGAAATCTGAAAATTGGTTTTTCTAGTAACACGCATGTGCTTAGTTTACTTACTTTCATGTGCTTTGTTTAACTTTAACAGTATGTATGTGTGTGTGTGTCTATATATATATATATATATATATATATATATATATATATATATATATATATATATCACAAACAATAAATTAAGGTCTCTCACCAAGTTCGTATGCTTTGGCTGCCACCCTAGCAGCAATATGAGCGAAAATCTTACGGATGTTGGTGAATGTAGGGTATATCAGTCCATTGTCAAAATTCTCCTGTGTAACTTGTTCCGCCAGTGCCTCAGTTGTTTGTTTTACAAAAAAACATAACATACCTTTTTTAGTAAATGACTAAAATACCCTTTCATATACAGACATTAATTATAATTTACATACACCCAACGGTAGTGTTAAGAAAAATAAATCTTTTATAAAAATAAAATATTTACAGCCTTACTTACTAGAACACTAAAGAAGCATCCGAGTCTCAATCTTATAGTGTATATTTTGTAATGATGAACATCTATCAATCACTGCATCTAAAGTTTCCCGACATTCCACCCCATCTGCCTCTAAATATCTGAATGGCTCCAGTGGTGGTGCTGAGGTAGATGTTGGATTTAACATACATGAGAAACCAAACTTAGGAGAAAGTATAGTTCCCAGCTCAGGAGAAACCAAACTAGAACTCATATATGTTACTGAAAGGAAACAACAAGTAAGATCATGATTAATACATACATACATAGTAACAACATATTAATTTTCTCTTACATTATTGTGCTGATGAGAAAAACTAACTAAAAATAAACTAGAATATGATAACTTTGAAATTTTGATGTTTTTACTGTGTATACATATATACATAGTAAGATACCCTTTTAGCATAGGATATCTTCAAAATCATATACTAATAGACGGCATAATGGAGAAAAACAGAAAAGGAACCATCATTCAAATCACAACACCATTTACAAAGGCGACTTAAAGGCAAGAACTAGAAAAGAATGGTACTGTTGTTAATGTATCTTAAGAAAATAAGGTTAAATGTGGAAGACTTTTGGAAATATTTGGGTTCTTGTGTGCAGAAGGGTCTATTTTGTGTGTTTGAAAGAATGGTGGAAGGAGAAGTGGAGATGAATGAAGAAACATCTGTTGTGAGGCTTCTTGTAGTTTCTACTCAAGTGGGCTGCCTTTTGCGAAAATCTGGTGGTGTAATCAAGCAAATGGCTTCTGAACGCAGAGCCCAAATAAGGATTCTTCAAAGGGATAAACTTCCTGCATGTGCATCTTCTTCTGACGAATTGGTTTAGGTAAGCTTATTTTTGAATAAGGATTTATCTAAAAACCAATGCTGCCTGCCAGCAAACTCATAATGTTTTCGTTTGTCATAAATAACAAACAGATTTTTGGGGAAGTGAGTGCAGTTAGGAAAGCGATTGAATCTGTTTCATAGCAGCTTCTAGATCATCCAGCTCCAGTTGGAGCTCGGGACAAGAGTGATTATTTGCCTGCCAACAATGTGATTGTGAATAATATCAATACTTATGAGCAACATTCACATCCACATCATCCAAATGGACGAGCAGGGCATCATGAGAGAGGTCGTTTTGGTCCTTTCACAGACATGCTAACGTACCATTTGAGATGCCCTAATGAGAAGGTAGGAGGTGTAATTAGAAAAGGAGGGGCTACCATGAAGGCACTGAAGCACGAGACTGGATGTGACATTAAAATCCTTGAGTGAAGTGGTGGGTCAGATGACTGCATCATTGTCATATCTGGACCACCGGTACCCAATTATATATATATACTAGGCGAATATATGCGCGTTGCGCAGAAGCATCTATATAGCTGAAATCTTTACAAATATATGTTTTTTTAAATATAACAATAATGTCGTTAAATTTGATATAATAATTCGTATACTAAGTTGATATATTATATTGATTATTTTGAATTATATGATAATATATACATCTATTAAAAATATATAATCTTAATCTTTTGAATGACTTCTACCTATGGGTTACATATTAATAAAATTAAATATAATATATGGTTTAATATTATTTATAGTTGTTGTTATTGTTAATTTATTTTTAAAATTTATTTGCTTAACGTTTTAATTTCTATCAATGTAATTATTTAAAACATCAAACAATATATTTTTTTTTTATTTTAAAGGTAACAATATAATCATTTATATAGAGTTATTTTTAACTATTATTATTGTAAGTTATTTTAAGATACTTATTTCAAAACTTTTAGCGACTATAAAAATATATTTAGGAAATATTTTTGTGAATTGATATTACATTTTAGTTTTTTTCATTTAACACTATAATTTATCACTTTTCACTTTTCACAAAATATTATTTGGGTTTTTTTTAAGTGGAACTGAAATTTATATTGAAGTTGACCCTGTAATGTTATATTTAAATTAACAATTCAAGTATTTTGTCCATAGAGTTCAAAAGCTATAGCTTTAAACTGATAATGATTTACATACAACAACATATTAAATCCAATATAATATTGAAATCTAGTTTATTTTTTATTACACTTCAAGTTTGATACTTATTTATTCTTATTAACCAATTTAAAATCATTATTAGAAAGACACTACAGTTTATCACTTTTAACTATTTACAAAATATTCATTGGGTTGTTTAAGTTCAACTAAATTTTATGTTTAAATTGATCCTGTAAGGTTATATTTAAATTAACAATTTAAGTATTTTATACGAATTGATCAAAAGTTTTACCTTTAAAATGATAATGGTTTACATACAACATATTAGACATAATAAATTAAGTATAATATATTTAAAGTTAAAAACAAACTTTATAAGTAGAAGAAAATATATATTTTTTATATTGAAATTTAGTTTATATATGATTACATTTTAGGTTTGATATTTATTTAACATTATTAACCAACTTATAATAATTATTAGAAAGAAATTCAAAAGTTATGGGAGTTTCAAATGAATGTGGTTCAAGAAAAAATGCAAGCTTTATAAGTATATAATGATATATATATATATATGTGTGTGTGTGTGTGTGTGTGTGTGTGTATACACACACACACCATACTACTTTGCAAATTTCAATTGAAAACTTTACGTTTATTATATCAAGTATCAACTTACATTGAAGAAATGGATTGTAGGTCCCAAATGAGCGGATATTTGCTCCCCAAGATGCAGTTCTTCGTGTACAGACAAGGATATTTAGGGCTACACCTGAGACCAAGCCAGTGACAGCAAAAGTCATTGTGTCTGCACATCAGATTGGATGTATCCTTGGAAAGGGTGGTGCATTTATATCTGAAATGAGAAACCCAACTGGTGCTTTTATTCGTATTTTAGGAAAGGATCAAACTCCACAATATGCTGCTGAAAATGAAGAAGTAGTTGAGGCATGTTATTCTTCTCTCTCTATCTCTCTCTCTCTCTCTCTCTCTCTCTCTTGTGTTGTATAGATTTGAGAAATGATGACATACTAACTGTCTATCTATTTTTGAGCAGATAAATGGTGAGTTTGATGCAGTTAACAAACTATGTCCTTCAACGAGGTATGTAAATTGGTCAGTACAACACCTTCCAAGTCAAATCAGTCCATGGACTTACTGTAGATATATCAAATAGTCAAAAAAAAAAACTCTGGTGAACTAGGGGCAGTTCCAATTAACACCAACCTTAGTGTGTATAGTATAGTCACCCATGATAGGACTAGCACTATTATTTCATGCATTTCTACCATCTGGACCACTACAATTTTGCTCAACTCAGAATCTCGATTACATATGAAACAAACCTGGTGAAACATTGCTTTCTTGGGGACACTTTTTTGCACCATTACACACAAGCTCAATCTCACTGTCAGAATCATCCCTTCAAGAACAATTATAACCAATATAACGAGCAAGCTAACAGATAAAAAAGGGAATAAGAACAAAATAATAATAATCCCCAACCAGGCAGATAGAAGACGGAATTGCAAAGGCAAAAGCGCACAAATCGAACCAATTAAAATAGATCCCATGATGAAATTAAGAAAAAGGGAAAAGGACCATGTAAGAGGAGCTTCTGAGCGGTCTCGTCGGATCCATGGAACATTCTTTAAGCATTTCATATATCTCATCTTCACTGTTGTGATTACTTGTGAGCTCCTTGATGTTCTGGATCGTCTTCCCTACATTGTTTGGAATGGTAACCCTACCTCCACTCATCGTTTTCTTCTTGACACACAAATAACAATAATGACTCTCTAATGTTTATGTATCTATGTATAGAAAAGATTTCTCAATATGTATCTCTGTGTGCCGAAAGAATTAGGGAGAGAAAAAAAGATAGCATACAAAAAGGGTTGAATCCTTTTGATATAAATTACATTGATTGTGAATAAGAGGGAAGAGGAAGAGGAGAAAAAGTATGCGTACATGAGGTTTCTTGAGAGAAAAAGTGGTCTGAGGGTTGTGTTTTGCCCTAATTCGCTCCCAATTACCAGAAAGGGTTTGGGTTATGGTATTTAACTGAATTCCCAAGTTTATGAATGTTGCAATTTACAACAATCTCGACAAAATGGGGAGATAGCTCTGGAAATGTGATGAGAAGGAAGTAGACAAGGGTTTCAGCACAAGATGGGGTTTCTAATTTTTTGGGATTTCATTTTTCCCCCGTTAGCTGTTAGAGGATGGAACGCATGTTATATTAAAATTTATAAAACGACATCCTTACACGACACACATCTTATTATAGGTGCCCTCTGTGGTTTTTTCTAGACACTAATTTTTGGGCATGCAAAAACACACATCCTAAATCTTTTAAATTTTGAGAGAAATGACATTATTTTTAGGATGCACACATTTGTGTATCATAAATCACCGCGTGTCATTGTTTGCGTGTCGTAAAATGTTGTTTTTGTATTGGTGTTTATTACTCCAAAGTGGGTTACAATGGTTGAACCTAACTATTAAATCATCACATTAATGTATAGCCTAGAAACATAGGCGTTACAAATAGATTAACTACGAAATGAAATTTAAGTCGTAAAAGAGTGGATATGGATTTGTTGTCGTGTGCTACCTATTCTTTGCACGTGGAAACTATTGAACATATTTTCTTAAAATGTGAGTTTGTGGCCAATATTTATCAAAGAGTATTCAGATGGGTTGATTTTGCATTTTCGGGTTTGGATATGATTCATGAGTTATTTTCTTGGGTGGATGTGGTAAGCATGTCTACCAATCGAAAGAAGCTTTGAATTTGATTCTGGAGATAGTGCTTTGGGTGATTGGGAGATACCGAAATAGTTTTTTTATTTGGTGATACGTCTCCTATTAAATACTTGTTATTTGATAGCATTGTTGATTGTTTTTTTATTTTGTTCATGCATAGAAACAATAAGGTTGATGCTAATAGGGTTAAGTTGTTTCAAAACCCAATTTTAACAATTTATGTGTAATTGGTTTCTAGCTCTTTGCTAGCCTGATAATAAAAATGTTGATGCTAGTTTTTATTTATATTGAATGTAAAATAGATATAATTTTGAAGTTTTGAAAAAAAAAACAGTTTTAATAGAAGAGAAAAGGAATGGTTGATAAATCAATTCCCTCTGGTCTTAATAATGCATTGCTTTATTAAAGAGTGATTTTGAGTTTTATCAAATTTTATTTAAAGATTTGAAGAAACAAAATAGATAGAATATAAATGGTGTAAATTGTAAAATGATTGAAAAACTTACCATGTGTTGTGTAAGTGTTAAACGGATGTATAAAACTAGGCATTGATTTTACACAACCTTCGAATCTGTTGGACCAAAGCTGTAAGGTACGCAATACTATAGGGACAATTCTTAATTTACCCTACTAAATATCACGCGTTAAAAATAAGATAAAAGTAAAGCCACCTGTCAAAGCCTCCTTCCTCTACCACGCAAACCACCAGCTCATAACCCCACAACTCTTGTCCACACAGACGCCAAAAAAATCTATATATACATCGCCATTCTCATATCAACAAGTTAAAGTCACTCACAAACACTCCCAACAAACAATTACTTCACTCATAACTCATAAGTCATAATTTATACTCCACTTGCAAAAACCGTAACTTCACTTCACATATTGCTCACACTACCAACGTATGGATGCCTTTATCGAATCTTACAACCCATTTCCATCAGTTTCACCAGAAAGTGTTCCATTAGCACACTTTTTGACCTCATCTCGTAGCAAAAGCTCAGTCTTGAATGAGGCTGCTGAATCCGAAGTGATGTTGGCTTCACGAAACCCGAAGAAGAAGGCCGGGAGGAAGAAGTTTAGAGAGACTCGACACCCAGTTTACCGAGGAGTGAGAATGAGGGATAATGGCAAGTGGGTTTGTGAATTAAGAGAGCCGAACAAGAACATGAGGGTGTGGCTGGGGACTCATCCTACTGCTGTAATGGCAGCAAGAGCACATGACGTGGCGGCGTTTGCCTTCAGGGGACGACGGGCGTGTTTGAATTTTGCTGATTCTGTGTGGCGGCTGCCGGTCCCGAAGTCTAGCAGTATAGTAGATATACAAAAGGCCGCTGCAGAAGCTGCGGAGGCTTTTAGATACATGGAGTCCGAGGAAGAGGTGGAGATTGTTGAAACGAAGGAGTTACCGGAAAGTCTTTATTACGTGGATGAAGAAGATATTTTCGAGATGCCGGAATTTTTTGTCAGCATGGCGGAGGGACTGATGGTAGCGCCTCCGCAGACGGTGGGATATAGCAGTTATGAGGATGACGTCGAATTTTTTGTTGACGAGTCTTTATGGAGCTTCTAGATTTATTCCTTTTTAAATTTAAGATAGATTGTTGATTCATTTTCCCTCACGACTAGTTGATTTTTTTAGACTAGCCAATGAGATACATATAGTATTATGCAACACATTTGCATTGTAAAAAGAAATATGAATTCTATCAAATAATTTGGACATGTTAAAAAACGAGTTCCGATTTTGGTAAAAATCCCCTTTTTATATAATATATTCTCAAAATAGATATGGAAAAACCACGATCCAAGTACTATCATGCTTTAATGTATTTAAATTATTAAATCATGAATAATGAAACATTGATATTTTTAGAGGGTAGGAAGGTGCATAGCCCCTACCCCATTTGTCTAACGCTTTTATATTAATATGGTGGGTTTAAATAATTCAAAGACAAATTGGTAAACACCTTAAAATTTGTCTTGAGATATTTAATCAAATTCTCAAATGTTGTATTTATGTCCCTTTTATTTACAATTTATTTTCTATTTTTATCATTTTCATTTTTGAAGAGCTATTTTACATACTTGTTCCTTTGACATGAGAGTGAAAGTGTGAGACATTTAATAAAATTTTCAAATGTTACATGACCCTTTTATTTACAAGTTCATTTCTATGTTCATTATTTTCACTTTGGAAGAGCTAGTTTTAAATCAATTTTATCCTTAACATTATAAATAAGAGTTAGTTTTTGTATGTAATGATTATTTCTATCGGCCCATGCATTATTCTAGAATTATAGCTTCATCTATGTTGATGTATTATATAAGGCTGCTTGGTACGGGCAACCCTCTTCAAAGGGCCACATCAACGTAGAGGGAAGAAAGAGGCAAAGAGAGAAGAAAATGGTGTAACACGTCGTTATGGAGGCAACAAAGGGCAACGAAAACAAAGATAACGGACGAAAACGAAATAGGGGGGTCGGTGTTTTGGCGTGGTCACGGCGTTTTTGTAATGCTACCTCACAAAAACGTAAGGTGGGTGTTGCCCACACCGTGCCCCCTAAGAGGTGATAAATTATAACAATATCAAATTCATGATTTAAATTTACAAGTGTCTATCTTACTTATTTGAGAAGAAAAAATAAATAGAAAATATTTGTTATCAAGTTGAGACGTCATTATATACCATCTAGGAAAATATAATATTGACTTTGATATAGAATATCAAATATATTTTACAACTATCAGCATGTAACAAACGTATGTAAACAATTCAAAAACAATAAAGGCATGTTTCAACAATAAAGAAATAAATAATTTTAATTTACTTAACAAATAAATACATAAATATAATATTGACTTTGATATAGAATATCAAATATATTTTATAACTATCAGCATGTAACAAACGTATGTAAATAATTCAAAAACAATAAAGACATGTTTCAACAATAAAGAAATAAATAATTTTAATTTACTTAACAAATAAATACATTAACAGCCAAATTTAAGTTACTTAAAATACATATTCCCTATGTACCAATATAACATGGATATTGACAAAAGTGACGATCATAAAGTGAAGCAATTATCCAACCTAACCTATTAATGATTTGGGGAAATGATTGTTTGTATCAACCTAAAAATAATCAGTAAAAATTATACTTTTAATTAACTAAGCCCAAATCCAATCATTCGAATAAAAAGACAATTATAGTATTGTAATGTATCCTCAAAATATCAATGACAAATCTGAAAGATAATGTAGAATAAACTTTGGGGTATGTAATGCGATCATGCCGAGCTCTTCTCTTTCGAACTGGAAGTATTTGTAGCATGTAAACAGCAAACATAGCACAAAGCTCATTGAATTCCCCAAAATATCATATACTATATAAGAAAAGGCTCATCCCAACATACATGTTTCCAAGCCAAGCCTACACATCCAGGCCCAACCCATATAATCGGCCCTAACCCAATAAACATACATAAACATGCAAGAGTCACAAAGAAAGTCCAGCAACCTACATTGTAGTGAGAAAATTCACCTTGCGAAGGTAGTCAAAATCCAAAAACTCATACACATACACACGATGAATGGGTGCTAAACGCCACCTAATCAATTATTCAAAATGAAACCTTAATTCACCTTTTAAACTTGCAAATTGACCCAAAAGTCAACCTAGGTCAAAGTCAATGGTTAACGACCAAGTCAAAGTCAATAATTAATCATCAGCAAGCCTCCATGTCTTGGCCTTCCTTTAGCCACCTTGCGGTCGTGTAAAGATAAAACAGATGGGTTGATCCCGAGTCACCACGTCGTAGGAACTAGGTCTGAACAACATAAGGAGTTAAGCTTTTTTTTTCTCCCAATTCCAAGAGCTCCAATGCTCAGATTTGATCCTTCCCAAGCTCTAGATGGACCTCACCCAACATATCGGCATTCGAAGCTTCCTACAGTAAAGCATCGTGAAAGGAGGTCGATCAATGTTGGCATGGTAGTTGTTGTTATACGAGAACTCAACTAATAAGAGATACGTATCCCAAGTCCCACCAAAATCCAATACACATACACGAAAAATGTCCCCGAGTGGCTAAATCATTCACTCACTCTATCCGCCAATTTGTGGGTGGTAAAACTGTACTAAAATATAACTGAGTATCTAATGCCTCATGAAACATCTTCCAAATTTTGGAAGTGAAACAAACATTCCAATCCGAAAACACTGACATAAGAATCAACAGCCTTTACATCAATATTCTAGCAACCTACGAGCTCCTTTAAACCTGTAAGCATATAATTACATTATTTCAGTACTTTCGTATCGCTACCTGTGATACAATGGAACTGAGAGGGTTAGATTGGGAAACCTGATAAGCATATAATGCTTTCAACCCACAATATTATAATCTTTAATTATATAATCTTCAACATTTTAATAACCCAATTACCCTATTCCCGTTATTCTTGCTTCCTAATCCTAGATTAATGATCTCGATAGATCTTTTCTTAAGGATCTTTGACAACAGTTATCTATATTTCCCGAAATGATTAGGCACGACAGTAAGATAATATTTTGTACACAAAATGATGTACAAAAATAGTAATTTGGTTAGGCATGACAATGCGATAGTACTTTGGGTAAGCACAATAGTACAATAGTACTTTGAGTAGACACGACAAGTCACAACTTATTACTTTGCAAAACTTTCACTTAACCTATCATAACCACTATCTCACACAACCCTATCCTGACATCTCATTTGTTATTTCATACAACCCTTTACTACCCAAACATATCAGTAAGTATAATATACGATTAGATTAAGTAACGATCATATCATATTGTACATATATATTAAACACACCAAAAATAATGCACATAACATTTAAGCATTTAGAATACTTGTATCTATGTGTAATTTGAAAGTAACTATGCATTCACTTAGTAAAAGTGGATGCCTCGGAATTTGGGCAGAACTTCGCCTTTGTATTTCAATTTTTCCTTTGACGTGACCTAGGTTCATATTACTAATTCTTAGTCTTATTTCCTGGTGACTAATGATAGCTTGAATTCCTCACTAATCCTAATATTTACATGAAGATCTATCAAGTAACAAAGAACCATGTACGATCATATCGAATGTAGCATCCGTGTGGCATACAAAGTATACTGTTTGGAAATCCCACTTTAAACACCTCACTAAATCCAGCCTAGACATCATCCCGGTAAGTAGATCAATCAGTATAATGACTTGGAATTACAGATAAATCTTATTTATAAGTTCATAATAATGACTATGAACACAAATATAAGTTACACTTGAAATAAAATAAGTGTAGCTTAACTTATACAGATTTTAGCGAAAACCATGAAATTGCGAGGACGTAATCTTGACCCAAATACTTCTTTTCGTCAGGCTCGTGGCTACTCCACAGCCTTCCAAAAAAAGTTCAGAAGCCTGGAAAAATTTGGAGTCAAAGTGTGAAAGAAGACCAGAGAGATCTGGGTTTGATTTGTGAGAAAATGAGGTGTAAGCGAACGAATTTATACGTATGGGAAGGATGCGTGTCGCACACCATGTCCGGTATGTATTATACACACTGTTAGAAGAGGTAACGTGGCAGATTCCTAGTCTGACGCGTAGCGACATTTGGGTGGTTAGTCAGATTCCTATACAACATTCATTTAGACCCAATCGACTAATTTGAATTTATTTTTAAAGTTATATTTTTAACCGGTTTAGACTGTTAAAGTCCGCTAAAAAATCATAACTCTCTTTTCTGATGTCCGTTCTCGAATGTCTTTATATCGATGGATAGGTATTGATGAGATCTTCAACCTTCATTTAGAATGTTTTTCCTAAAAATTAACCGATTTTATATTAGTTTCTGAGTTGTATATTGATACGCTAAAACTTCAAAAAATTATAAGTTTTTCTCATAAAGTCAGATTTGGACATTCTTTATATGCATGTTGTAGGTTTGACGACTACTATGATTTTAGATTATATCTCTTAGTCTAATAAGTAATCTATCAAAAATTCATTTTTTTACGATACAAAAAGTCGTTTCGGTTTAATTGCAAAAATTTGAAGAAGTATAACTTCTTCATACGAAGTTAGATTCCAACTTTCTTTATATGTACAAAATCGTTGTCACATATACTATAATTTCGGTTAATATTATTTATCTTAAATAATATTCTGTCAACAAGTCGTTTTTTATCGCTTATTATATCTTATTTATGTAACCCAAATTTGTGGGCATTACAATTATATCCCCCTTCAGGATGATTACGTCCCGAAATCATTAGCAAAACATGGCTTGTATAATGACTCCATACGTTATCTTTCCATCCGAGATAATAGTTGTAACCCTTATGTCTTTTCAAATGATTTTCTAACTCTTAGGCTTCTCAACTGTTGGTGGTGCTTAACCCTGAACATGATCTTCCTTCTAAATTCATTCTTTATTGGATACTCCTGCTCCTTCTAGAACACACTTAACGTAAGATAATGTCTTCACTTCAACTTCCATAACAGACTGATGGATTATGCTCTAATGAC